TATGTACAAATAAGTACAAAAGATGTTATAAATTGACATATGTCAAACAATTGAAAATTACCCAACAGGCGATATTTTTTAGTTTAGGCTATATATAAATCGTTCAAAGTATATATATAATAGGCTATACAGGCCTATAACTATAATGTTATTATTTTCAGCATTATTAGTATATTCTCTTTACGTAATTTAAAGAATTTTGCTTGCCCAGTTATTTTAAAATACCCACACTACTTTACATAATTTCTTTGTTCACAAAAAACAATAAATATAAATAAAAAAATAAAATGAAAACGCTAAGGTAAAGGTAAACCTCTTACGGAACTCGGAACGACGTAGAGCAGGATGTGGCTTAAGGAGACAATAGTCCGTTCGATTTTCAATGTTCGGATTGTAAGTTTTGCCATCATCATGAGATCTTCACTCTCCGTTATTATATCTTACCAATATTGCTCGAGAATTGCAAAGAGAACGACCCAAAACTACTACGTTTGCAGCGTTGCGATTAGATCCAGTTATTCACAAGAGTTCTCGATACTCATTCATTATGAAAAAGCTAAGCATAAGTGATCCATGGGGACGGGACTTAAACTGACCCTCAGAGCTAACATTAATTATGAATGAATCACGACGTATCATAATGTGGCGTTACTTGCGCAATACATTTTAAAAAATAATAATAAACAAAAAAAAAAAAAAAACAAAACAAAACAAACAAACCAACACATAGACCCACGTCACACGGCGGTGGTGATTCCAATGGAATATTCTAGCAAACAGAAATCCACCTAAAGTTTTTTTTTTTAATTTTCTAAATATTGAAAAATATTAATTTGAACATTGGCCGTCGGTCCGCATTAAGGCATTTTAGTTAATAATGCAAAAAGAAACGAAGATATACGCTTATTAAAGCAATTATTTTAAGTGTGATTCTGTATTTTCTTTAAAGTGTGGACGACACTAGAGACAGTTATATTCCTGTCATTCAGCTAATGTGCCTATCGGAGACAGAGAGTCAAGTGGCAAGTCCGATAGGACAGAGAACCCGGGTCAAGTAACGTGTTTATTGAGAGATAGGCCTACATTCAGGTACAATCCTACTGACAATATAATGGGGTACAATATTATTCCTAGTCATCGTAAACGTTGTTATTGACACGTATTTTGCGGTGACGAAGCAAAGAATCAAATCGAAGTATAATAATATAATAATAGCTGATTACCATGTATCAGGCAATCTATTATCTTTTGAATCTTATAGCTTAGGTAAAGGTTTCGATTAACTTATACACGCTTGCATTCATAAATATGAACATTCCATACTGGTAACTCATGCGTTTCGTTAATTCATACTCGAATCAGAGAGGAGTGAATAATTTTTATTTATTTAATTCACCCTTCGCTGCTTAAATTTAGGCGTAAAGTACCGTAGTGTATTAAAATAAAAAAGCCCTTAAAAATAATTTTTCTAAAACAATGAGTTTCCTCAAATTGACAAATAAAATCCCAATGAGACACATATAGAAACTAAATTATTTTGATTTTTTTTTCACTAAATAAAACGAAATCTAAAGTTAAATTGTCTTCCGGTCAGTTAACAATATAAATATAACTTTATTGGTGAATATAAAATGTGATGGTTAAATGCTTCAAATTTATATAATTAGGAAGAAATATACATATCTTTATCTTTGGAGATTTCAAGGCAGCAGAGGCGTAATAAAAATTTAAAAAAAAACCTTATTTTTTCCTGAAATTTCCATTTTTGGGGGTACTGTTCTACTGATAAGGGGCGCGAAGGTGAAGGCGGGGACTCGATGATCATTTGAGGGGCGCTCATTCGCAAAATAGTGATTTTAGGTGATTTTTAACTACTTGACCGTGATTTTTGGGGCTGGCTGAGATGAAACAATTTAGGGGTGCAATTTCAACTCTTAGGCCTGTTATAGCACTACTTAATTTGACTTTTTACCTTCGTTAAGTTAGATCAGGGAACAGTGAAATTACACTGTTCCCTGGTTAGATCAAATAATTTGTTACGAAATTGTGAAAAAAAAAACTAGGAGGAAAGTACTTAAAACCCACCTCAGCACGCACCAAATTTGGATTATAAAATTATAATTGTGATTTATTAAATATTTTATTGTAAGAATTAAAATAATGTTATATTAGTAAATTATTAGGCTACAATAATTTTTTTTATATTTATTGTATACAACTATGATTGATAATCGTTATAAATTTACCTTAGGTTTGGTGTTCTTTGTGCAATTTTTATTACTCTGTTTTTTGTGTTAATAATTTGTAGGCCATAATTAAGTTGTTAATACTACCAATAATTAATAGACCTATTTTTAAATGTAATTATAAATTTAAGCATGGTAATATTGATATTGACACCCACAGGTGCGGATCCAGAGATGTCTAATAGGGGGCAGAAATTGGAAGGAGGGGATGAAAGTGGGGCTGATCGAGACAACACTATCCTAGGGGTCCGGGGCATGTCTCCGCGAAATTTTTGTTTTCTACGCCCGAAAATAACCTCTGAGGGCGATCAATTTTTTATTCCTTTCTTTTTTACTTTAAAAAAGGTGGCCCTTAATCCGCCTCTGACCCATAATGCAGTAGCATATTAAAAAATATTCTTCGACTGTCCCTTTTATTCATGTTGAATATGGAAGAAAAAAATATGACACCTTTCTTTGTTCTATTTTGAATGTAGGCCTCTATAGCCTATTAACCTAAATAGGCCTATCAATTTGCACATTCGACCTAAATGCATTCTTACAACCTTCACCACCAAAACGTGGGAATAATATTCCATTTATCGTGTGCAGTGGCGGATCCAGGAATTTGATATAGAGCGGGCCCAGAGAGGGACTTTCACAGATGAACGGGGTCTATACTACCTCAGACCCACCATATGGTTGAGAAAATTTATGATTATGGCACCTTTATATGGCCGGAAATGGCACTCTTAGACTCAAATTTGGGTAGAATTTTCCTTTATTCTAAATTTTTTTCAATTTTCAACAATTTGGGAAAGAGGGGGCTTCCACTTGAATCCGCCACTGGTATTGGTCTGAAACAAAGTCAATGTATAAAAGTAAACTTTATTCATCCATATAAAAGGAAATTTCGTTCGTTTGCAGTATAAAACAATAACATTGTTAAAAATTGATAAAAGGTTATGAAACTACAAACGACGACCAAAAAACTTAAAACCATTAGAATTTTAAATTAGCTTAGGTCATCTACCTACTACTGTAAATTATATAATGTTGGTCGCGCCAGCCGACGGGAAAATCATGATATAAGGCCATATTTGAAAAACGATCGTGGGTATTTAAAAGTCGACATAAATCCATGAAACATGCAGACATTGATTCGTTGCATTCACTTTTAATTTGTCTTTAAGTAGGCTATCAAAACTAAAAACTACAAATTTGTGTCTGTCAAATTCAGTGTTTATGATCAGACTTTGTCTAATGAAGTACAACAGATGTGGAAAAATAAGAAAATATTTGTGTGATTAGATGTCTGAAGCTACACAATTAGGTAAAGTCTGATAATTCACCTGACAGACAAAAGGCCTATAAGACCTTGGTCACCCGGCTGAACAAAATTATAATCACATTTAATAATAAGAATATATCCACGGTACAAAGCTTATATTTATATACTTTCTGATTCTAGTAATTGCACCTAAGTTTTTATTATCTTGTGGGATTGTTTGATAGACCGGACCTAGCCTCAATTGTTATTATCTTCAAATGCGGCATTTATATATGCATAATATCTACACAATACCAATTTACATACAAGAAAATGTTTATAAAATAATAAGTACGCATATAAAATAATATATAAAATAACAAAGCTAACATTCTTGTGCACACGACGAACGTCTACTAAATTGCGCATTAACCTTGTAGGCTACATAATATGCCAGTAGGCCTACACAATACACGTTTTGAAAGTGGGATGCGGGCGTGAGACATGTCATTCATTATCGACATATAATAGGCAAAAAGTTTAGCTTTCATAAGTTAATGTCTCGTCAAGAACGTTCCAGTACCAGCTGTTAAATCTGCGCACATTGATTGTTTGGTGGGAATGATTTATGGTCTTTTCTGAGGAAGTTTTGTGTAGGTACTAATTATCAAAGTGGAGTTGAATACTTGAACCAAAGCCGGCGACAACTAATCAACAAAATCAAAAGATAACGGTAAAATAAAAAAATAATATAATAAAATAATCATTATGACAATGAGTACAGAATGAATACAATAATTCGACGTGCATGCACATGCGCAAATTGAACAACACGGTGGCATAGTATTAACACATATCCTATATAGGATCTGTGGTAGTAAGCATAATACCTCCACGGTATAAGCCATTTCGTAGTCTTAACTGCGCATGCCCACCCATATCAAGGTCAACTGACATAAATAAACATAAACCACATACACACAACATAGATTTATATCGACTGACCTGGATACGGGAATGCGCAGTTCAGACTAAGAAATGGCTTATTTATCAAAAATATCTTGAGATAACAATAATACACGTACTATGAAAGGCCTATTGACCTGTTGTGTCTCGCCAAGCTAATCATAATGTATATTCGGCCAATAGGTTAAATGTATTAAACGTGATTTGCAAGTCAAAGTGCCGTATATGTGTAGGCCTACACTGGCAGTTATCTTTTAATAGCACCATCATTGCAGAATGATTAGAAACATCACAAGAGGAAACAACTATGTGAAGTTTACTTAGTTTCGTGGGGATTGTATTGGTACATTCACAAACGATTACATTGTGTTAGCAGCACATGATTATTATTTCCTACGAACAATAGTGAATAAACAAATAAATAATTATATATATATATATGTGTATAAGAGACAGCAATAACATTGTTAAAAATTGAT